ATAATTGAGGTGTACGTCTTACCGATGTCTTGAGGCCGACATGGCGATGAGGCCCAAGGAGAGGCAAACTTTGGGTACAGGTTTCTGTAAAGAAAGAAAATTGGAGTAAGTTCCTGGTACGAAAGACAATTGATGCATAGTAACAAAGAAGCACTTCAAAATAACAACAAAAAACTATTGAGATCAATACAGAGATGTTGAAAACGCAGCTAACGGTGGGGAAACAGAAGGAGGCTGGGGCGTAATTAAACTGAAGATTTACATAAATGAACATCCGTACCCCCGACACCTTTTACAGTCACATTTAAACTCTTTGAGATTAGATCTTGAAGACAATTTAAAAGCTGCAGAATCAAGCGTAGAACAGAGGTCTTACTCCGGTGAGTTTAAGTTGAGTCCCAGCGTTGTGAGGTCACTTCCGAGCGCCAGATGTACCATCCCCGGATCGGTCTCCGCTGCCCGGATAAACGTCAGCAGGCCAATCATGCCGAATTGGTCCGTCACCATTCCTGAGGGGATGTTCGTCACCCGACCTGCAGCCGCAGGATAATTCAGGGTTCAACAAACCGCTGGAAGTACTTACCGTCAATACATTACCTCCACGTTTTAGACCCACACTCTGTGCAAGCATTGGAGAGAAAACCAAGCCAATTCTTGATGACGGTGATGGTCACAAACAGACAAATGTAAAGATGATGATGGTCTGTTTCACACTGAATGTTATTGCGGTTTCCTCACTGCAGCCTATCCAATAACTATCTAACCCCAAATGCAGGGTAGAGAGCCTAGCTGCCTCACCCAAGTTGTGCGATTAAGAAGGGATGTCTCAGTGGAATTGGAGCGATACGATTGGCTGAGAGGTCTCACCATCGGGCAACACCTGGATCCCTTTCTTCTGGTTGTTGTTCTGTGCTGTGGTCGTCTTGTCTCCGGGGAACTTGGGCCCATCTGCATTGGATGTGCTCTTGCTTGTGTTTGAGTTCAAGTTCTAAAAAAACAACAACAACAACCAGAAAACCAAAACAACAATAGTTAGATTTAACGAGTAACCTTGACAACCGGTCAGACTGAGCTGCAGAGTCCTCGGTGGCTCACACTTACGGTTTTGCTGTCGTCGTTGTTCAACGTGGGGTCCTTGTAGTTCGGCCCGGGCAGCGCAGGGAAGTCCTCGTTATGGATGGAGAAATCCTGTGTTTGTTCCGTCGACGGCTTCGTCACCATGCCAACTTGATGATGATGATGACGATGAACATAGTGAAGTACAGATTATAATTCCCCAATAAAACACAATGAAAAAAGGAATCATAAGATATTCCTGTTTAAAAAGAAAACCTTGGCTAATGCTATAAACTCAAATCCAGAAGCTATTTTTAATTTTCTCTCTATTCGGGGGAACCTTCTTCCTAAAGCTTAATGTGGGTAAATGTGAGACACTTTCTATGGCCTAATGGCCTACCATAAGGAGCCCGTCCAGCCAGTGGGTTGAGCACCGGTGTTGGGTTTCCAGTCCCTTCTCTCCGACTCCTGTCTGCTAACGCAGGGAAGTCTGACAGATCCAGTCCCGTTACATTTTCACTCCCATCTGCAGTAATAGGAAGGTTAGGAGCTTGTAATATGTAATGTCACCTGCAACTCACTGCATCTGTGTAGTAATGTGTCGATTATTAACTTGTCGGTCTAATTGTGTTACCCTGTCATTCTAGGAATAAATGGCCCTCCTCTAAGCAGACACTGCTGACCGAACACAACAGCTAGTTACAATAATATTCACTCACCGTCTCCTTCAGCAGTCAAAGATACAATGCTTTCAGTTTTTCCAGAAATTTAATTTTTAATTTTTTTTTATTTCTTTACTTAAAGACAAAAGAGACACATCAGTTTAAACTGCTGATCACTCTGACCGCATGCGTCTAGAAGAAGCGATGCTTCCTGCTTTAAGAAGACACACTTCACTGCACGTTACAGTGATCAAGGTCGTCTCGTCATGTCAGCAGCTCAGTTTCAACAATTGTGCAGCAAGGTATATTGAAGAAATATAATCCTCACGTAGTTTCACGTAGGATGGATTTGTCATATTCAAAACAAACACCGGAGTGTTTATTTAAATGCAACTTTAAACTAATGATCCCTTGATACATCACGAGTAAACACACTAACCTGTGCCATTGAAGATGTTGCTTGATAACGAGTTGTTCATCCCAAACCCCTGATTGCGATTCATACCAAAGCCTGACATGCTGCACAGAAAAAAGAAAAGGAAAACAAAAGATGAGGCCAAAAAATAAAAAAAGATATTCCTTAAAAAACATCTCCATCAGGACACAAAGAAGCGCGGAGCTCTGGCCGGATCCGTCTACCTGTTTATGGTGAACGGCTGGCGTGCCGGCTGCTGTTTGGGCATGCAGATGATACTGGGCGAGCTGCGGTTGGGACTCCCGAGCCCCGAGCTGCCCATGCTATTGGTCCTGCCACTCATCCCAATGCCTTGACCGACCTGAGAGTGGTTCAACATGTTCCTCGTGTTCATCGGCAACGTCCCCCTGTTGAAACATGGACCGGTCTGATTAAAGTGCATTTAAGTCTTTACACGTGGCACCTCAAATGTCGTTTCTATTCACACAAGTACGCATCTTAACTGGGTCTGCCTTCATTCCCACCTGCTTGGTGACGGAGGGGTGTGGAGGGACATGGTGGGGACCCCGGTCGTGGGGGTGATATGACTTGGTAGCTGCGTGCCTTGTGTTAGATTTCGATTTAACTGCGGCGTGCTGTTCCCTATGCCCCTCACCGAGAAGCCAAGTGCACCTGCGGAAAGGCACGGAAGGAAAACCAGGAGAAAAACTTTAAGAGCTAAGCTCCTCATCAGCTGTGGGGGCTGACTGTAGAAAGAAAGGAAACACTTACTTTGCGGACCATACAAACTTGCACCGAGCTGCGACAGCTGACCCGACGACGACGACGGCGAGGGAGACGACAGCATCTGAAGGAAAACATTTGAAGACTAGAAAGAGTAAGACGACCAGAAAGTTCCTCCTCCGGCTGTCGAATCGGGACACGGCAGGAGCGTGCGGATACGTGGACAAAACTTACATCTTTGTCCGACCGATGTGGGAACATCGACGACTGGCTGTAGTACATGCTTTCGTCAGCGAAGTCATTATCGACTACCTCGACAAACTCTACAAATTTCTTTCTAGCACCAAACATGCCTTTCGTCACCTGAGGAAGAGAGAAGCGCTGCTGTTAAAAGACGTGCAAGGGAAAGTAGTCTGGGAGGTACACAGTTTTGGAGGGTAAATTTCACATTTCTTCAGTACGTTGAACCCTTTTATCTGGCATAGTTTTTACCTTGAGTCTTCCCACTGCTGTAAAACGCCTCTTTACAATATGATTGAGGCTTTTGGTCGTTGCAACTCCTAAATGCACTTCAACATAAAATGGAAAACTCGGTATGCATTGTTTATTCTAGTTCAGTTTCAAATCGCAATGATATACTTGTCTTCGTGGGGCTTCGCTACACAGTTTTCAAAGTATGTGTCTAATTTCAAAATGATGTACACGCGTATCGGAAGAGCGTGTTGAACTTTTATTTAAAAAAAAACAAAACAATGTATACTATAACATAGCACGATTCACTTAAATCAAGTGACAGCAGCAACAACAGTCGACTTTGCCCGCTTTAAACTACCACTGGTATTAGTTATTCGTGTTAAACGGTGAATAGTAACCCAATTTGACAGTTGTGAAAATGAACAGCAGCAATGCTAACCTGCTAGTTAGCCAGGGCTAGTGCAGCTAGCTAACGTTAGCAGGCTAAGTGCTCCTATTCAATCCGCGTTAGCGTAGCTAGCCCGAGTTCCTAAGCGCACTGCCTTCCGCAACATACCGAAACCTTTCAACTCCGAAACAACCCGACTACGCTCCCCAGCAGCGGTGGCTATACGGCAGCGTGCTGCGCCCTCGGGACCTCCGTATATCCACGGCCAGCTGTCCGTTTTCGCGGCTCAGTTTACGCTCCGTTTGCTGCAGCAGCAGCAGCAGCCAGAACAGCGGTGACAAGCTGCCGGAGCTAAAGGCTAAAGGCTAAAGAGTCGGGCCGTTTCGAAGGGGAGGAAACCCGTCAAATAAATGTCACGTAGCGCAAAGCCGAAACGTGAACCGAGCCGATTCAATTTGACAAAAAAAATAAATGTATATATATATATAAATATATATATATATATATCCTCACCGCATCAATTTCCCTTCTCTACGTTAGATCCAAGATGGCTGTGTTGTATTCTCAATCAAAGGAGGATAGCCTTTACCCTCTGACCTTACAACCGGCTGACCACTTCCGTACACAAAACACACAACATGTCACAAACAGAAAGTGCACTCTGTGATCAGGCGGCGTGCGGAACAGTCACCGAAAAACACAGCAGTGAACAGAGTTTGTGCTTCTTTTTTTTAAAGTGAATATTAATGACAAGTGACAAGTCCTGTGATCATTGGCTCTGTAGCTTCAGTCCCAACACAGGAGTCTTCTAATACTAATGTCAGAACAATCTGAAAGAAAATATATATATATATATATATATATATATATATATATATATATATTTTTTTTTTACAACTCAAGATGGTGACATCGTCATCAAAGTAATGTTTATTCAGTTTTCCATTGGCCTTACGAAACAGGCAAAGCGGCTCCGGGGGCCCCTAAAGTTCACTAACTGGTTTGTGTTAAATCAAAATTGATTCTGATTTTGAGATCCTGCCTTGAATTGAGAATGCATTAAATTGCAGGCATTTGGGCAGAATCATTTGCAGGATAATGCAATTGACAGTTATTGATGTTCATGTCCTCTAGTTACTACATTTGGATTGCAATAATAATCTTCACTATTACTAGATTGTAGAATAAACTGCTATACTTTAGGCTAACTATAGGCCTGTGAAAGATCTTGAAAGCTCTTTATTCACTTCGGAAACATTAAATTCCTTTTTTTTGTCAAGAAGACCTTTCATGGACAGTTTGACAGCCATACATTTTTATGTGTTTTTTTTTCCTTCAGGAAAAGCAGTTCAGAGATGACATAAATGAGGGCATAATCACATTAGTAATCCGGTAATCACTTAATAGGACAATTAATTACTCCATTGCTTTCCCTGCTATGGAACATCGACACCTTTTACAGTCACATTTAAACTCATGAACACATGAACAGGGTCTATAATGGCACCAACGTGGTTCTACAGGGTTGTGGGCCTACTGTTGCCTGTTTGAGGGCCCCCAGGCAGTGGATAAGGAGAAGGACCAGTGCTAAAACCGGTCTGGCGGTGAGTGAAGACAGACAAGGGGGCAAACAGTATCCCTTCTGATAAGGAACATGAAATTCCTTCTCAGTTTTATCGAGTTGGAAAGTAGCTCTAATTAAAGTATGCAAGATAGCCGTTGCAAATCACACCTTGGGCAACAGAGAAGTACTTCCCCCAACAAATAGGAAATTATATTGAGTTCTTAAGTGTGGAAAACTAAAAGCCCACTTGGAGGGTTTAAGCGGGATTACAGCACTAAAATCTTGTCTCTGCAATGATTGACGACACAGTTTAAAAAGCGACACTTACAAAATGTACAGAGCAACGTGTCAGTGACATTTCAGTGCACCTCTTAATATTTCTGGGATCCTGTAATTAAATTTTTTTCCTCCTTGGCAAAACACTTAATTAATTACCGCAATCAACATCAGACATACAAACTCTGGTCTTCTGCACCTTCTGTAATTTCCCACTTGACTGCCTGTGTGGCACAAACCCAGAAATCTGCCTGGGTGGATTGAAACATGATGTAAATGACCATCGTTGCTCTTTCATCACAAGGCCCTTCTTAAGCTTTGCACCCTGCCCCTCCCTCTCTCCCTCCCTCTCTCTCTCTCTCTCTCCCCCACCTCTGTCATCTCAGTGAAGTAGGGTGGGAAAGTCATTAGGCACAAATAGGGAGGAGAGAGTGGCTAGCTGTTGCTATCTCCATGAGAGTCAGGGCAAAGCTCAGAGCCACAGAGAGATGGTGAGAGGACTGCACTGGGGAGCATCTGCCATGGGAATACAATACATTTGCAGCCCATTAGATTGGATAAACAAATGGCTCACTGCTGAGAGATGGTGAGAGTCATGGACATCAACAGGAAAACATTGGGAGGTAGGTGCGTTTTAAATCTCCAATTGTGACTATCCTCACACACTTATTGTGTGTTCTTCTTTCTTGTCGACGAGTTTTATAAAAGATGCTTATTTCCACCGCGTTTTTGTGCTGTTTTTCAAACGAACGGATGCGATTCAGCATCGTAATCCTGTAATTGCTGCTAAATGGCAGCTTTAAACGCTGATGCAGTATGACAGAGATCCATTACATTGTTGCAAAACTTGTTTGGTTTCTCCCAAAGATCAATAACTCCAGAGGGGGCTGTGGTTTGGGAATTAATGGGATGCTATGAAATCGACTTCAAGACGCCAACTGCCCATTTCAGAGCCACCCTCGTCCGGCACTCAGCTGGCGCAGAGGACCAGCCCTGCACCCGAGACTCGGCGAGATGGGTAACGCCGTGCGAGGCGCCGTCGCCTTCGTTCCCTCGGAGCGCTGTCAGCGCTACCTGGTGGGGGACCTGAGGGAAATGCCCCCCGATCGGACCCTGGACCTCAGCGGGCGGCAGTTGCGCCGGCTGCCGGTCGCCGCCTGCGTCTTCCACGAGCTGGTGAAGCTCTACCTGAGTGACAACAACCTCAGCACTCTACCTGCCGAGGTGCAGGGCCTGAAGAAGCTGCAGCTCTTGGCCCTGGACTTTAACTGCTTTCAGGAGCTCCCTGCGGCGGTCTGCAGACTGCCTCAGCTCAGCATCCTTTACCTGGGCAACAACAAGCTTTACAGCCTCCCCGGAGAACTGAGCCAGCTCAAGGAACTGAACACTCTGTGGCTCGAGACTAATTGCTTCACGGTTTTTCCACAGGTAGTTTGTGAGCTCCCTAACTTAAAGACCCTGCACCTCGGTTATAACCAGATAGAGAGTTTACCAACTGAGCTGAGATTGCTGGAGGAGCTTCGGAGTATTTGGCTCGCCGGGAACCAGCTGGCGGCGTTCCCGTCGGTGTTGCTGGAAATGCACTTCTTAGCCGTCATCGACGTGGATCGAAACAAAATACGTCACTTCCCGGGCCTGTCTCACCTGCAGGGGTTGAAACTGGTCATCTATGACCACAACCCCTGCGTTAATCCCCCCGTGGTGGGCGAGGGAGTCCGAAGAGTCGGGCGGTGGGCGGACAGCCCGGACGATGTGCCGGAAGGGGACGGGTCCAAAGCGGCGGGCGAGACTGCGGCGCAGGTCACGGAGGTGCAGCCGGAGGAGGAGCCTAGCGTACGGGGTCAAGGAACAGAGTGACCTTCAGCCTGGGAGAGTTCTGGCAGTACGGAGACGACGTTCAAGTGGAACACTTAGAAAGTCGAGTGGAGTGTTGTTTATCGGGCCGGTGGCATTTGGACCATATACGGCCATGACAGGTTGTTGCGCGAGTTGTTTACGAACGTGCAAAAGGAGAAATGTCAACCCAGGAATAAAAAACTGCTGAAAATGATTGTTTATTTACACCTGTGTAAAAGGTTTGTGTCTTATTTGAATTAGTAAAACTCTATATACACAATTTCCATTAGCTACCTAAAAAAATCATCAAATCTTCCGTCTATAATATACTACTTGATATTACATACACAACATAAGCTCTTTTACACAATATTACAGGCACACAGTACACATGTTTCTATGTACTTTCCTAGTAAATTTGACTGTGAAGTTGGTCAGTAGAGCAGAGACTGAAAAAAAGAAAAGTAGCCAGTTTCAGATAATATCTGTACCTGCTGACATGAGGTTTTTAATACAAATGATGGATGATTTAAGTCAATTAGTGCACTCCCATCCAGACCAATGCATAATTCATCAGATAGATTGGCGCTGTGGCTTTGAATAGAGGCTGCTAATGGGCCATAACATCGTACGCCATAAGGTTTTCATCTGAAACTGATCGTAAATGTCATTGTCGATTTCCTCAGGGTACCAGGAAAGTGTTCTCTGAACAGAGTAAAGTGTTGTTCCACAATATGTGTCATAAATTACCGGAATCATATCAGTCTTTTCACTGGAAACGTCAGGACACACAGAGCTACTGTTTTTTGCCTTTAATTCAGCATGTCAATAAAACGATCCATGTGTGAATCTCCCAGAGGTTCTAGGGAACATACACAGACATGTTTCTGTTTCATCCTTTAAATGCTGTGTCAAAGACCCGCAATGCCTTCACACCTCAGGCCTTAGAACAGCACTGCGCCATAGCCGTCTGATTTTAAACTTAACTTATTCTATCAAATGAATGAAATGTGGGAAAAAAAACCATGCCAGATTTCCACATGACCTTTTCCCTGTGTTTAATAAAACATTAAGTAAACAAAAAATGAAGAAAAAAAACGCAGTGGCTAAAGGTGGTAATGCTGTTCTACTGTCTAAGAAGTACGACGTTTTACCAGACAAAACATATTGAGTTGAGAGCTGCTACCTTCTGTGAGAGTGATGCCGATGCAGAACCAAACAGGGATGTCACCAAAACGTAAACAAGACCCTATGAAACACGGGACGTGAGCCACTGCATGTTTATTTAATTTGTTCAACACATAAACAACACCTACTCATATCATTTCAGATGCATTTGCAAGGATATTTCCATGACATCATACAACTGCATCACACTCAACAGTCTCTTTGGTACAGAGTTCTATGTCCCCTGCAAAACTCTTGCATAAGCTCCCTTGAGGCTTAAACCCTTGGCTCCCCCGGAGTGCAGGATAAATATTTGGCGGCAGTTCTTAATTCCCAACAATTCCTGCATCATCTTGACTTCATCAGCTTTAACGGCCAGTATATTAAACAGTAACTTTATTCATGCTTCTTACACTGTTCCTTAATGTTGGACACAACTTAAAAGACACATCTAAAATATTGGTGTTTTTTTGAAAACTAAATAAATAACACTTTCCCGACAATAAAATTGCAGTGTAACAGATACTGAATACAAAGGAATAGTGCTGATGGAATGAAAACCTGCTTTGTTAAAGCATTGCAGCTCTAAAGTACAAAAGAGCCGTAAAAATCACTCATGAAACTGAGACGGAACGTCTCTGAATGAACAAGTAAAATAAATGTCTTAAGTCTCCCTCAGGCTTCACATACGTTGTACAGTGAGCAATTAAAAACAAAGACCGTGTTTTGTTGCACATTTTCCAAATCCAATCGCTCTGAAAGAGACTCTGTGAAAGAGCAGCACGAGGTTCGCTCATCTGTGACCTTTAAAAAAAGGGTGTGAAACATTCTAGGAAGTCTCTAATCTCCGTAACAAGTACGCGGCGGCTACTTTCAAAAACAAAATCCCGTCCACGGATGCATGAACCGGTAAATAAAAGACTTGTCTGCTTGTATTATCGCGGGAGAAATGTCGGGATGTCTGCATTCCGCTATCGAAGGCTGGCCGCGATTATGAGAAATACGCCACATACGCAGTTGGACAGACATCTGAAGGGCGCGCTGAAATGTCACGCTGACATCCGAGTGGTTAGTTCATATTCTGCTTGACGCCACGCCAGAGCTGGAATGTCGTATCTTCTGATATGGGCGTTATAATAACAACAACACACATGGTAAAACAATATGCAGAACGAACAGAGAAGAAGTCAAAAGTTACAACTAGGCCAAGGACGATACGCAGTAGTTAGTTGGCTCCCAAAGCATCTATTACATTTGTGTTAACATTGAGCATATACTATATAAGTGCTTGTGTTGGGTGCAGCGGCATGCTTCACAGGCTCATCCACGCCCCGGGTCTCTGTCGGAGTGTCGTCTCACCCTCTCCAGGCCGTTTGGATCCATCCGACGCGTCGGAGCCGACATCCTCCTCGGACGCCCTCGAGCCGGGAGGCCCTTCCTCCTCGCCGTCGGCCGCGTCGCCCCCGTGGGGATCCGCGGCTTCCGGGGGCCCCGTTGAAAACGCCGGCGGACCCGTGCCGCCTTCGTGGGCACCAGACGCCACGTTCGCAGGTCCGATCACTTGAGGAGCGCCGAGGTCCTTCTGAGAGTTTTCCTTCTCCATGCGCTTCCGAGCGTCCTCCCTCCTCTGCTGGATGCGCGTGTTGTCCCCCATCATGACCCGGACCCGGACCTGCTCCGGAGGCAGGAGCCCGCCCCACACGAACTGCAGGTAGCCGAACAGCACGATGACGCTGAGGAAGGCGAAGTTGGTGGCCACGCCGATCACTGCGGACGTCAGGGGGAAGTTGTACAGAACGTATCGCACGCCGGTGAAGTAGGCGTGGATGCGCAGCTGAGAGGAGTAGATCTGCACTCGCTTGGACATGATCTCGATGACCGCACCGATGGAGGGCTGGAAAGCGTTGGTCTTGTAGTCGGAGAAGAGCTCAACCTCTATGAGCTGCTTCTGTTCGGCCATCCCGGTCACGAAGAAGGGAGAGAAGAGCAACGTGCTCAGGCTCTGCAGGAGGCCGGAGCGGTAGTGCAGCATCGTGGATCGGCCCACCGACGAGACGGTCCTCCCGCCCTTGGTGTAACAAGACATCTTGACCATGAACATACCCAGGTTCTCATTCACCGGGGACTCTGGCATCTCCAGCTCCAACGAGACCCGGTACGGCTGACCGTAGGCCATCACTTGGTCCCTCTCGTTCTTGATGAGGGAGATGTTGGCCGTGGGGAACGAGCAGAGGACTGACTCGGAGGCGTCACAGTCGGAGGTGTAGAAGAAGTGCACGGGGGTGGAGAAGCTCACGGTGGGCATGTAGGAGTAGTAGAAGCTGCCGTAGAGAAAGACGGACACCCAGAGCAGCAGCAGCAGGACGCAGAACAGGATGGCGGCCTGCAGCAGAGTCCGGCGTGCTTTCAGGAGAGTGACGGAGGCCACGTCGTGGACCCAGTGGAGGACCGCTCCCATCGTACTAATGATAGCGTCCGATCCGGACTTTCTTCTGGTCCTGGTTTGGTCGGTTGTTCCTCCCTCGGCTCCCTGAGACTGCAGCCCCGGCGGTGGATCCCTGTGGTCGTACATCAGTGGGCGGTGTCCGTCCGAAACCGTGTGATCGCTTCTCCTCGCATGCCTCCCGTGCCTAACGTCGGTGTGCATCTGTTCAGAGGGCTACATTATGGAGCATTAGCCGAGGGCCGAGCTTGTGTTTAAGCTAGGTCGGCTCGCAAAGCTGACGTGTTTTAAGACTACCCGAAACAAATAAATCTAAATGAAATGATTTGCTTCTGAAGGTTAGACTGTGACGGTGTCCACCTGACTTAACGCTGTCTAAGCTTGTTTTCCTTCCGCGTTTCTTCTTCTCCTTCTTTAAAGGTTATCGGCAGGTGGCAAACTGCGGGTTGGTGCATTAGCGCCACCAGATGGTTGGGAGGGAGGATGTCAAAATGAATAAAAGAATGGGCACATACTTTCTAAATAATATTAGTTAGTCTAACATACTAAAATAGTACTTGATAAGACCCACTTCTTGTTGTTTTGCAGAGTACCGATTATATCTGTATATGTACTTTTGCCTTGCTGCGGTGTCCGATTGCTCATGCTTCTTCGTGCAGATTTAATTTCAACCATTTTCCAATAAACTCAAAAAATCATCGTCCTTTTCTGTCTTCCTCGTTAATATCTTCATCTAGCTGTAATGCATATGCATTCACCACTATTGTAGTTTCATTTAGCTGTAGTACATATGCATTCACCGCTATTGTAGCTTCCCTCTGCCTTGATGTGTTAATTGATCTGCGAATTTGATCAAAGGTTTCTTCCAAGATTCGGCTTCCTCATGTCGCACTGCTGTTTTTTTTCGCCACATGTTAGGATAAAAAAAAAGTCCATACTTATCCATTTTTGCCATCCTCCCTATATAGTGACACAATTTCTTTCCTTTATGTATTTGAATGATCCACCTTTTATATTCAATAAAATTCTGAAAACTTACTTCAAAAGCTTGAAGAACTAATTGCTTCATCATATAATCCAAAAGCTAACCCCCTTCCGAGTCAGATAGTTAAAGTAATGTCTGTTCTGGTGTTAAGTAGTTTCTCACTTCCTACAATTTACATTAGTCTATATTAAATATCCAGAAGCTCTTTAATAGCCATTCAAATGCCACCATCACCACTTTACCATTATGTACTATTCAAATCTCCACAACATTGTACTTCTCCTCCACCTTTTGAACCTCAATCGAACTTTTTTCCCCCATCTGGTGTCTCCAGTCTGTCTAGCTTTGTTAGCATGTTAGCTGCCACCCAGTCACCGGGTTTAGCTTCTTCCAAGGCATGACCGCGTGAACCGGAAGGCGATGCCTTCTTTTGTGCCACTGTGAAGCAGCCGAGCCGAGCCGAGCCGCAACAACGACGCCAGGGAAGTCTGCAGGCCCTTTAGACTGACGGACATCGATGGGTAAGAAAAATCGCCTCACAGGAGGAGCGGTCGGTCGGAGAACGATCCTACAGCTTTCCCCTCCCGGGCTGCGCGGCGGGAATGTCGGAGAGAGGGAAGAAGCCCCCTCGGGATCCGATGGTATTTCTTAATAATGTCATCTCAGTGGCTTGTTAGCTGAATGCTAAGTACTGGAGTTGTGAAGCATGTGGCAATGTTTTAAAAACCTGACAAAATGCTCATATCGAGTTAGCTAACATTAGGTGCAAGGATAAATCATCAGCACCAATAGCTAATAACCCCAAGTGATAGCAGTATGCTAGCTAACGTTAAGCTAACGGGTCGGCCAGAAGCTATCGTGTAGCATGCTAAGCTAACGTTAGACGTTTCTGTGCGCATGCCAACATAGTCTTACCACGAATGGCTGTGGACCCAAGCGTGATTAGCTGTACACCGCGAGTGTCGCCATTACGTTTGACGTGTGTCAGTGTGAGGATGTTGTCCGTGTGGGAGAATAACGTCAGCTTTTAACAGTTAGCTTGCTGTAGCTAACTCAAGGCTAACCTCTTGGCTGACATTTTTTTTTTTGCAGATGAACAGGAGGTTGATGGACACAGATTTATGAGAGAAAGACTCACAAACATGAAGACTGCCGCAGTAAAGGCCACAGGTAGAGTAACAGTATATGCAGGGAGATGTTTTTTGTAACTTTTTTAAAGCAAATCACGTATGATTGATCAAGCTGCTTTGCCGCCACTTGTAGAGGGCTTGTCTCTGCTTGGAGCCTACGAGGACAGCGATGAAGAGGAGGCTGGAGACGCTCTTCCGCTTTCCACTGCAAAGTCAACAGACATCGACAGTACATTGGCCAATTTCATGGCTGTGAGTATAATTTGCTGAATGTCTTGTATCGGAAGATAAGTTCATGCATATATGACCAGACCAGTTCTGAAATGCACCCAAGAATACAATATTCATTTCTTTATGCATCATCACTGATCCATAGGCAATGTCCTAGGATGCATGCACAAGCAAAGATCCTCTCATGTAAGTTTAGTACGTGTACTGATGGAGTGAGGATGTCGCACCACTCTACACTGCACACTTGTGGTCTAATTACCAAAAAGCCTCCAAGTAGCTCATATGCCATGAGGATACTAAAGAGACAGAGATGGTGCAGTGCCAGTGCGATATTTGTGGCTGCAAGATTTAATACTTTACAAACTGTCTAAATAAAATTATATTGTCAAACCTAGTTTAATACTACGCGCTACAAGGCCCAGCTGTATTGCTACAGATACATAAAGCATTCGTAGGTCTGTGTACTTTGAATTTTGTTAGTACAAAACATTAAATAGAATGAAATACAATCTGGACCATGAGCGTGGAATAAATGTTTTGATTATCATTCTAAATGAGCAATTTGACAGCACAGTACGTAGTTGACAACGGAAAGGAGAGATCGTAAATAGATCTTCAGGCTAGGCCATTGTTGGTAGTGTGGACTGTCCACGTTAGGGTCAAATCTTTTGTGTGTTGTTCATACATTCCTTTTGGCCATTTTTCACCACAGGAAATTGATGCCATCACCACCCAGCCAAATTCTGAAGATGCAACTCCACCTTCGGTCCCAACCGCCGCACCACCCAGACCTGATGTGGACACTCGGCAGCCAGCTGCCAGTGCAGCTCAAAACCAACAAAGCGCAGAGTTTGAGTACAATACTCAGTGCTCTCTTTCTGGAGGTAACTGTGTGCTATGTTTAAGATGGAAGTGTTCACAAGAGCCCAATATAATATTAATTATAGCTGTCTTCATGACCTGATAAGCCGATATTTGTTTGCAAATCTTTTCTGCTTTGAGATTATTGCTTACTAGGAAGAAAAACAATCCCTTCATTTAATAACATTAATATAAGTTTCACATTACAAATAAACTGCCTACATTTCAGCAACCTCTTTTCATATGAATCGGTCCTGATGATCGCCTGTTTCTACCTTGCTATACATTGGTGAAGATTGTTTTGACTTTTGGAATTTTGTGTGCTAGCATTACCTAAAATCAGCTTTGCTTTGCAGTGGGTGTAGAGATGGGAGACTGGCAGGAGGTGTGGGACGAGAACTCTGGCTGCTACTACTACTGGAGCACTCGGACCAACGAGGTGTCCTGGGAGCTGCCGCACTATCTAGCTGATCAGGTGCAAACTCTGGGCCAGAATACCAACAGGTAGGAGGAACAGGCACCCCTGAAGCCACGCTCCCCATCTCATCCCAAGTACCCTTTCTTTGAACGTTTTTGTTTTTGTCTCAAGTAAAGACATTCAGAGGTGTAAGATGTAGTTTTCTATTTCGTCTTTTGTAGCTCGGAGTATCAACGGGCAACGGCACAGCGCATGTAGCCTATCAGGGCCAAGGAAAATGCCCACATTTGTTGTAGCCCCGCTGTCCCGTGAAGGAGACCAAAGTGAAGGGCAAGTTTCATTCCACACATTAATAAATAAAATTTGACTCTGGTGTTAAATAAAAATAAGCATTCTAAGCTTTGATATTGTTACCTGATGTTTTATCTAAAAGGAGGTCATTGAGAGTGTCGTGGGCCTCACAAGTGAAGAAGAAGAGCGCCACGGAGTGGCGGCGTCTCTGCTCGGGCCTTTGATCCCCTCTGAAGTGAAGGAATCAGAAGAGCGATGGAGGAAAAAGCTGCTTAAAGGCTTGGATGAGACTGAGAACAGTTTAGATTCTGACGGGGAAGGCGTTCGCAGTGCAGTATCTCAATCCACCCCTCCGCTGGACCCTGACCCAATCCCCACGGTCCAGAAAGACGTTTGCCACAAGGACTTGGAGGACAATTCTGATGCAGAGGAGGAGACTGAAGAAGACACCATGGAGCTGGAACTGGCCCTGGAGAGGAAAAAGGTGAGTTTTTTGTTTTTCTTCCAGCAAAGGTTTACTTGAATGAAACGCAATATCTCTGGAACGCTTGGAGAGAATTTTATTCGAATTTGGCACAAACTTCCACTTGGACTCAAGGCGGAACATAATTAAGAGGTTGAAGGTCACTACATAATTCTGATCAATTCAAACAAAGTCAAAGTGAAGTGATGACATTTTGTGAGCTGCTGCTTGACTGGTTGGCCGAGACATACGGCCACGAGACGCTTTTCTGGTTTGAGGCTGCGGTGATAGTATTTCCAAGTGTGCACTGGGGACAACGTGTCCTTTCTCTGACTCTCAGGCTGAGCTGCGGGCGCTAGAGGAGGGCGACGTGAGTGCCGGGGGCTCCAGTCCTTGTTCCGAGACCAGCCAAGAAGCCTCTGGTTCTCGAGGCATTCTGCTAAAGAAAAAGCGGTGGAAGACCGCCTTCCCTTCGGCTCCCAGTCCAGAGTCCAACAGCATCGGCTCCGACCTGCAGGACATCACGGAGACAAGTGAGTCCAAACGAATGCACGTTCCATTCATTTCATTTTTATTCTCATCTCCCAACATATTTAAATGCCTCTTTTCTTTTTTTTTCTTGTAGCCGTTTCGAAAGCTCAAGAAAGCGTCAAAGAAGTGGAGGACAAGGAAACAGATGGTTCAGAAGAGAAGGCGCTTACAATTCCTCCGGTTAAAGAAGAGGTGGAAACACCGGAGCTGAAAGTAGAAACGCCTGAGCTCAAGGTAAAAAAACGTGGTTACCACTGTCCATTGTGGCTCTTTTTTTGGGACAGTTTGTAACGCGGATGAATGTCTAGTTTCAGATTGGAGAACTGGCTAATACGTTGACTAGCAAGATGGAGTTCCTGGGGATAAACAAAAGGGCGATCTCAAACTTTCAGTTTCTTCTGTTACAAACTGAGGTGAGAGGAAAACCGGTTCATTTTCTAACCAACACCATCCTAGTTTCCAGATGTTGAAATCCAAGTGTGACATTTAAAATATTTAACGCTTCATTTTGTTTCACATCATTTTGCACAAAGCCACGTCGAAAGTACTTTAATATTTAAAATTCTCATTATAATCCATCATCGGGAAATGTAATTACGTTTCCAAGTTTCACATCTATCTTTTGGCTTTAATGTCTCCTGTATCCTTTTACTTATACTTTGTGGGTTTTATTCCGCTCTGTCTCCCCCCCAGACTCGGATTGCTGACTGGAGAGAGGGCGCACTGAATGGGGTCTATCTTCGTCGCAGGCTCCAGGAAGCTGCCGAACACATAAAATATTACGAACTTAACGCCACTCCTAAAGGCTGGTCCTGCCACTGGGACAGGTACGCGCTCCTTACCTTTCACATCTCTAAACTCCCTCGTCCCCCACCCAAAAAAACAAAACTACACCCTTCTAAGTGCCGCGGTTGCAGACTTTGTTTCATGACCTGGGGAGACGCTTAACCAGTCTGGGAGGATCAGAATACTTTCCAGAAACAGACTCTGCAGGTTTCTGCCTGGCACATACTGATAAGGGAGCATCCGCTCGGGGCCGGCCTGCTTCCTGTTAAATATTCCTGCCTCCAAAAAGCTCCATGTCCACATAACAGACTCTTAAGCCCTTTGTTGTCAGGGCATTTGCAGACTGATTATGGGTCCAGTCAGTGGAAATTTTGGAAGGGTGGAGGGGGGGGGGGGGTGTATGGTAGGAAGGTTGCGTGGGAGAGCTTTGAACTTTACAGGACTACACCACCCAGAATGCAATGCAGACAGTGATGTCCAGGAAGCGAGGAGTGTCACGCATCTAATAAAAGGTGAAGATGGAGCAATGACGGGAACCCAGCAGGTCAGACCTACTCTATTTCATATGTCTTCCTGTTTTTATTATTTTCCCTTCTGATGTAAAAAGACTTGAGTGTGTGCTCGTAATTTTTGACCTATGCTTCTCGATGATCATGATGGTGTTTCCTCTCTGGCGTCTTCCTGTGTCTGGGAGGGAATGGTTGTCTAAAACGGAACAAATGTGACAACCATGGTTTGAGCTGCTGATTGCTACTTTCAGGACCCTAGAGATGATTTGTTTTGCTTTCTTTGTTTTTGAGAGCAAAGGTGGGTTCCCTATCCACATCCCTGACCACACTCCAATTGGGCCCTGCTTTTGGACAGCTAAAGTCGCTGTCCATACCAACACTCCTGCCCCTTAGTGTGGCCATTATGTCCACTCCCTTGCCCCTCACCCCCACTGTCCCAGGGTATCCCGCCACTCATGCCGTTGCTGGGACAGCCGTTGAGACTCTTGCCTCCTATCTCTGTTGTCCCACTCTTTAGAGAGCACAGGCGGTATTTCTATGTGAACGACCGGACCAGTGCCTCCCAGTGGGATTTTCCAAAAGAGGACAAGGAGGAAGACCTGCAAGGCACAGAGACACAGACCTCCAGCCAAGAGAACACCAAAACATTGACCGCATCTCCTGGTGGGGTCGCAGGTCAGTCTCTGTCCTCCGGGTTAACCGCAGAGTGACGAGTATATTTATTGTCCTGTTTTTCCTCTGAACATGTGGCTTACATAATAAAAAACAAAACAATGTGACAAAGCTATCTACACGGTTCATACAGTCTTGAAAAAGCTGGGAAAAGTCATGGGATTTTAAAATGGAAAGTATTCTAGTCATATTCTTCAATGAGTTTGAAAGAATGCATGAGAGACGCTCAAAATATAAACAGGCGTACGCTCTCTACATGTGGAAAATGTCATGGGTAGACAAAGACCCGGGACAAGCAAAATGTAGGTTGTGTGTGTTATGTGGAGGCAAAACATTCAACCTTTCTAACGTGTGTGTGTGCGCACGTGTCCGTGCTGTGCCCGTTGGGACGCAATGTCTGCTTTGGAGTTCTCCATTGTCGCTTTAAATATGTACATTTTTCACTTATTGATTTCACTAAATGTTTGGTCATGGAAATCCATTGATGAAAATGTATGAATTATGCTTCTCCCAATATTACAATATTACAATTTTATCTTTTTCTTCTTCTTTTTAACAGGATCTTTCACCCCAGCCGCCCCCCCACCAGCACCGCCCCAGCCCATTGCATCGTCTCTCTGGTCCCCACCCCAACCCCCCCTTCCTGACAGCCCACCTCCCCCTCCTGGACAGCCCCCACCACCGCCTCTCCCCCCCGGCTCCCCACCTCCACCACCTCCTCCTCCTGACAGCGACGAAGAGATCATGGAGGTGGAGATGGAGATGGACGACGACAATGACAGCGAGCCGCCTGCTCCTGGAACGGAGGAGGACGGCTCTGCGAGGCCTCCGTTGCCTCCAGGCAGCGCCGGCGTGAAGGTATGGGAGACATCAATTTAATTTAGCAATATGCAGTTAATAATGGACATGATTGTGTGTGTATTTAACCTTTTTAACAATGTTTCGTGTCCCACAGATTGTGGAGTCGTCGGTTCCCTTGGGGAAGGGTCAGAAACGTAAAGCCGGCCAGCTGAGTAAATCCATCACTATTGGCAGTGGCGCCATTCTCTACACCCAGCCGGCTTTTAGCGCAGGTAAAAAGGGATCACAACATCTGCTGTTAAATGATGTACTTCCCCAATATGCATACCTGTCTGCTCCACGTCCTCTGAAACCAGACCAGAGCCCTGTTCGCTAAATGACGGTTTATCCTTGTGCAGCTCCTCTAATTTCTGCAACGGCTTACTGGGGCGTGCCAGCGGTCCCTGCTCCCCTGGTCCCCTGTGAGCCTCCTCTCCCACCTGTCCCGGCCTTACCTCCTCAGCCACCACTGCCGCCAATCCAGCCGCCCTCTGAACCTCCTGGAGTCAAAGCTCCGGCCGCAGACAAGACCAAGAAAATAAAAAAGGATAAGGTCAGTATTGGCCATTTTACATCAATTGTAAAAGGGGCAGTAGAAAAAAACTATATGTATAAACCACAGCACAAACTTATTGTTGAAGACTAGTGTTGATTTAGCTTCTCACATTCTTTCACATTTTTCTCCTATATCTCCTCGTATGTAGTCAAAGAAGAGTAAGATCAAAATGCCGTCTCTGGTGAAGAAGTGGCAGAGCATCCAGAAGGAGTTGGACGAAGAGGAGAAAAGCAGCTCCAGCGACGAGGACAGAGATCAGCTCAACAAGAGGAGTATCGAGGACTGGAAGACACAGCAGCTCATGACGTATGTTTACCAAGTAACATTTTTCTTTTTTTAGTGGTTTTGATGACTGTGTATGGATGCAGCTACGCTGTTGAGTTCCTGGACTTTCTTATGACGTTTTTTTTTAAGGAACTTCATTAACTGTTTTTTACTCCACAGAGGAAAAGCTTCAAAGAATGCTAATTTTGAGACGCTGCCCGATAACTGGAGGGACCGACTGAAGAAACGGAAGACGACGAAGAACACGTAACATCCAACCTGGGTCATAAATCGCCTGCTCACCATCATTTTTACTCAGCTCCATCCCTTAATACAAGGTCATCCTGCCCCAGAGGATGAGGATTAACGTTTTATTTTTATGGTCGTTGGATTTTTTTTATCATTTTATGGTGGACAATGGAGACATTTTGAGGTCCTTACATGGCAGGCCATTCCACAGAAGGACCTGAATGCTCTTTTGTTTTTGTAGTGACTGTTGTAAATGTGCCAAAATGATTGGGTTCATTGGGGTTCATCAAAATCTACTTCACCGCCGTTTTGTCGAGCTTCACGAAATCGATGACCACCGCAGTTTGTTTGGAGGGAGTGTGTCTATTTTATTGAGTTTATACAACTCCGTTCATTCATGTATAATGTTATGTGCAATGATTTGTGAAGGGAAGCGTCGCTGGACTTGTACATTTTGTAAAGTTATTAAAGTTTTTTTCATTTTTTACATTTGTTTGTCATTTGTTTGCTGTATATTTGATGATCACTTACCAATAGACTATTTACTTTTTACTTTAAAGTCAAAAGTAGAAATTTTATCTTAATATTAATTTTACAAAAGCTGCATTAATTAAGCATAATTCATCATGAGGTATCATAATTACATGTCTTGGTTGATAATCGAGCCCAGCCACAACATTTTTCAGAATCAACTTTGCAAATGAATAATAAAATATAAGACAAAACAAGCACAACACCCCAAAAAGCAGAACACCTTTAATGTCTCATGAACAAAAGTATGCAGCATCTTTTGATGGATACAACCTACAGAGGACATTTTATAGGCCCTCAAAAAAATCCCAAGTGAAAAAAATGTGGGAGGCTCGTCCATTGGACCTAAATGAAATCTCTGCCACTCAAAATGCTCCTCAATATGTTGTGTTCTGATGGGCCGACAGAACACCTCTGGGACGTTATGTCGGGCTGAGGTCCTCCAGGTACTGCCTGCATGCCGCCCATCAGGAGGAACCAGGACCTACTGCAGCAGCGCTGGGTCACACATTAATCCTTATTACCGATAATAGTTAGAAATGGCATTGAGAAGATACTGTCTCAAAAGTATTTTAATCATAACTAGAACTTTTAGAAATCAGTTAAACAGCTTTAACTATGAATTAGATATAACTGTATAAAGGTATAAACCTTTATTTTGAATATCTTTTTTGTATTATTTCCAATGTCTAAGTAGTGGATTCCATTTGCTCGTTACTGTACTGTTCATTTTTGTACTTCTTTTTTTTTTTTTTTTTTCTGAGAAGATCTTAAATCATGAAAGGATCGGCCCTCATGGAATAAATTACATTCGAGTAGTTATTTAAAACACAATGTATCTATAGGCTTAGTCAGGTGACAGGTCAGCCTTACCTTTAGTTTTATTTGACATATTTACAATGTGGTTACAAAAGGGAGGGAAGTCCAAGCACAACGATGTAAAAGACAGGAGAAATGTTACAGATGGAAAACGAGGGAATGCAGGAGTTACTATAAACAAAAAAGCCTTGTTTGGAAGCATTCTGTTGGTTTTGGGATACTGTTCTAATAGACGGGATGATGCAATCCACACGTTTTTAGTACCACTCTAATTAAACCACAGGACTGCCGGTTGCAGTTCCTGAAATAGCCTGCAGAGTGCATTCAAACACCAGGTTATCCACGCACATTATAGCTTCAGAAAGCATTTACACACAGCCATTTATTCTGCTAATGATCCCACATAAATCCAAACAAAAAGGCCACATGCATGTAATAATTAATAATGTCAGGAAGCTCTACAAAACGGTGGCGAAGTATATTTTTGATGGGATAAAAACGATGGGGAGCAGGCGACGTATGACTCGGGTTGGATGTCACGTGTTCTTCGTCGTCTTTCCGTCTTCTCATTCTCATTCTGATAACAGTAACAAGCCAATTCTGACATAAATTGTTACTGTTTTGAAAAAGTCTTCGACAAATTTCAACCGATAACAGGGACCACACGTAGCTCACTGTCTTCTGCATGTAGCAGTAATGAAACATCTGTATTAATCTGTATGAGACTTTGCACACAAAAACAAAATGCTGCTGTGCTTTTAAGTCACAACAAGGCCAGCAAGCTATGACCCACTTTCAGTGACACACCACTCGTGTGCACACAAGGCTCAATTTTGACCTAAGAAAAGTGATGGATCACCACGTTAACCGGACCGACTGATTTCAGATGACACAGTGTCCTAGTTATGCAGACTCAATGACAGTTACCCGTTCCGATCACGGGTGCTAAACAATGCTGCAGATCGATATGTGCGATATATGTGCACAACATTAGCTGACGCATTTATTATATCCAATTGCAGCGGCTTCCAAAAGGCTCCGACAGCGGCCCACTTTTCACATATAACTGGATCTTTGCAATCCATTGAGCAGCGAGAGAGGGCAAGAGTCGGCCCACTGCTTGCCTCTGACATCGATGATCGAGCCGTTCCCGAGAGGTCGCAGACAGCCAGAGACGAGGTCAAAGAGGTCAACGAAGATTAACACGGTGTTCCAACTTGCTCCGACACGCTGCAGCCGCCCTTACAAAGTGCGTACCGTTGGATTCGATCGGGACCCGCTACTTCTTCATAACATTGTACCCTGAACTCTGACCTTTTTGCTGATTTACAGTCGCTGCGCGTAGTATTGTAGGTCAGAATAGCCAGAGAAGCATTGGCTTGCATTATGCACAATGTGACAGTTATTGGCGTGGCATTACGTGTATTGAAGAGCAGAGAGAGAAAGAATTCAAGAGGAGGACTCTTGAAAAATCTGGATTCAGAGGAGACTTTCCCTAGAAGTTCATTCTCTTAAAGCCGAGGCGCACGATATTTGTGGTCGGATTAACATGCGACATCCTTAGAGCGGCGTGCAGCCAGGCAGGAATAACAACGGGAGCTGGAGCGGCACTAAGCTATTAATAGAGGGCCTAGCTGAGGAAGACATGGGGAGTTGGGGTGTCCTCTGCTCTGAGGACCACCAGAGGGCACTGGGAGCCTGTAATGGAAGACAATGGAGACTCCTCTTCTAGTCTACTCCCCCCCCAGTCTGCTTTAAGCCACTGGGTGTCAAAGTTATAATAGTGGTTGAATGCAGTCTGAAAGCTCCAAAATGTAAATGTATCCAAATGTTTTATTCCAAATTTGCATTTGAAAAAAGGTATTTCAACGTTGCCACTAAACAAACAGGCTAAAATCAAACACTTGCTGTAAATGTTTTTTACAAAACTTAACTTAACCATTTTTTAAATAAAATGTTCACGCTCAAACTAAAACACCACAAGTTCAAATGTATAATTGATGAAAAAAACATCTGTGTGTTTCTAAAATAGTCGGTTCATAAAAACGGACTGATTCAAGACCTCCAGTAGAACATCTCAATTCAATTTTAGTTATTTTCAAGGATTCAAGCTAACAGGCCGCGAGTTACTGGCATACAAATAGTAGGTTTGTGCGCAAAGTAATCCTCGAAAGAGGCACACATTTTATTACTAAAAGGTTTGAATTGAAGCTCTTGAGGTGCATTTCACCCCTTGACTTTACATTCTGGCACAAAGCGGGAGAAGACACTTTTTTTTTTTTAACCATGACTAAATACTCAGTTTAAGACAAATATCTTTTAAGGACGTGAGAGAAGAGATTCCCTGCTCTGGCAGGTCGCTCAGCGAGGGCAGAGCGTGGCGTCGCAGCAGCCTGAGCACTGGCAGAACGGTCTCTCTGATGTGTCATGTCTGATTCCTAACGAGTGCAGGTAAAATGTTTGCCGTCAGACAGGGGCACGGGAGCTAATGAACCCCCCCCCCCCCCCCGCCACCCAGCCTTCAAAGGGAATTACCTCAAAATAAACATTAACCACCAGACGATGTGTCGAGTAATGTCTGACAGCCCAAATGCAACGTTGCATTGAAAGTTCGCAGTAATTCCTTGAGTATTTCTGCATTTCTGCAAAAGAGCAACCCCCCTCCCCCCAAAAAAAAAACTTCAAGGGGTTTCCCAGCATTGCCAGAGCAGGAAAATTAACCCGTATCTGTGTGCTTATATCAGCATCTCTGTGAAATGATGCTTGGTACGCAGGGCAATCTCCTACCATCAGTCCTTATTTACACCTCCAACCCATTTATCAACAGGCCACATTTAATGGGGACAAAACCAAGAAATTATTGTGCACATAACGTCAGCCTCGGCTGGCCGTTGCAGTCAGTGCCTGCTTGGTTCCCCGCTTGTTCCCGCTGGCTGAAATCTCATCTTGCCGTATTTACATTATATTACACCCCGTTTGAATGGAGCCTGCTGAGCAGAGACGCAGACAGACACTGCAAAGCGACGCGGGACAGCGCAGGATCTCGTCCCTTCCCTTACCCTCGCGTTCAGGTATGGTCACCATGGAAACCACTGCTTGGGGGTATTGTATGTGTGTATGTTGAAACAATGGAATGGACTTTGTTGAAATGTAATGAACTGTTAAAGCAGCGAGGGGGAAAGACTTTACTGGGTATATGGAAGCAAATGTAGGATCCTATACAAAAACCTCATTTTATATTATCTGTAGCCTACAGGACCAGTAACTGAGGTCATATAAAAAAAATTCAGTTAATGCTTTTATTGTGCCTGGGCCTTGTATCCGCTGGGTGTTTAAATATGCAATTGTTTGCTTCCTCGAAGTTCCCTAGATCAACTCAATAGGTTCTCATATTTCAGAGGTGTTTACAGCTTGTCTCCGCTGCCCAAAAGTAGCCATAAATCATATTTTATTATTGCAGGTTCAATGAGGAATTAGAGCGGAGGTAGAGGATGAATCTACTTAAATCTGATGATAAACAAAACCTATTCAGTCACAATTACTGGAGCATAATAAGAATATAACTAAAAACTCAAGTGTGCCTCCGCTTCGTTAGAAGTAATTATTCTAATGACCACATTGTTAATTAGCTAAGACTAATTGCTAAACGTTTGCGCTGGGAGCTGGGCGGTGGGTTGCATCATTGTCTGGGAAGTGAACACAGAGACAGAGAGACGCAATGAAAAAGGAGTCGGTCAACGCAGGTTGGTCAACGCGAAGCAATTAAGATAATGATTTGAAAGAGAAAACACAGATGTACCCTTCTGGCATTTACCGGTCAGGTCTTATGGCGACTAGACGCAGACAGAGTTGTTCTGTGAAAGTTAACTCATTTAGAAAATGTGAAAAAAAAAGAATGGGGGGAAACTCCTTTGTGCAAACTGATATTCATAGATATTCAGTGCTACACATCTACACGATAGTAAAGAGCTTCTGAATGCGTTCAAAGTGAATGTAAGGAAAGAATCTTCACCTATTAAGGGATGAGAGCCAAGACTTTACTGATGTGGAATGAAAAAAGAACAGAAATGGAGAGTAATGGAGAGGACAGAGACGCACACTCGCACTTCATACCCTCTGTGAATAAACACCCAAATA